ACCTGTTTCTTGATAAGTAGAATAAAACAAGTGGTGATATATACCTGTACCTGCTGACATCACACCTCCTTTGGTTGTACAGACATAGCTTTTAAGGCAGCTTGAACCCTAAACACTAACATTGCAAAACCGCTGTAAAACCAGTAACACTAGGTTTTGCAACAATAACCCTGTGAAATTCAGTTGTGATATAAACTGTTTATTTTAAAGGAGTAACATTCCATAGGGGTTCATCTCTATGCTGCAGCTTCTTGTTAGTGTGACAAACATGAAGTGAAGGTGATTACAAACTCAGTGGCCTGTTGTCATTTTCCAGGGTCCAACATGCAAGTCAGTGCATAGGAAATATGATTTTTTAAAGTTATGACTTGGTTATTTCAGCTGCCGATAGTGACACAGAAGAGCAAATGCAGTTTATAGCAAGGAGAATGATACTGCTTGTGGCATGTTAATATGGCAAAAGCAAAGTAAAGAATAAAGCCAGGAAAAAAGAGAGTGAATTCATGTAAATGTGAACTCGATAGCATGCCTTCAACATGTGTTTCATGGGAGAACTTTAATTTTTGGGTTGCTGAAATTAATGAAGAGTTTACTTGCTCAAGCCCATACCAGTCAGAGAGGAGTTCAGCCACTATCAGTAGTTCTGTCCTGATTCACCTGCAAACATAGCCAGGTTTAAGGAAATGTTTAAAAGGACAAAATAGCAAAGGATAAGTAGCTTAGTTCATCAAAAGAAGGCAGCTTCAGGGACTGCTTTATTTTTTTTAATGTCTGGACTTGATGTGGACTAAAATCAGAGTCAGAAGCAAAGTCTCTTATGTGCTAGAGACTCTTTAAAGGACAACTAAGGCTCTTTCACATTTACTCTGTTTTCTTTAAGCTATTATGAACCATCATTTTACTTGGGGACAATTTTTGTTTGAAAGAGACTACCAGAAAGGATGACTGGCAACCTGGTATGCGGAGGAAAGAAAATCTATTACTATTTGCCTTCTGCAATAGCTTTGGATTATTTGTTATGAGCTGTCAAATAACATGGTCAGAATTTTAAAACTTGCATAGAATTTCACAGGCCCATGATAGCTCTGCAATGAGCCTGCTGTAGCTGTTCTTTGCACCTGTACAGACATATGTAACATTGACTTTATACTGGTCTGAGAATTGCCAATAAGTGAGACTGATATGATTACATAGTAAGGAGAGTTAGGAGGTTCAACTTCTGAATAAACATTAACTCTACTATATCCAAGGCTTTCCACGGTATCAGGAACGGAGACAGGAAAGAAATGCTTTTCATTGAGTTAATGCTACTGTAGACTTACTAATGCAAGGACTTCCTGTTACTCATCAATTTAATATTGAATTTTCCTTTTAGACTTTGCTTATCTTCTAATTCGGTTCCTATCTTCTCCACTTTTGTCTGTCAGTCCACTCAGTCATCACATCTTATTTTAAAATTGTGCTGTACTTTTTTTTTTTTAGTTTAAATGTGGGAGACAGCAGAATCAGCCAGTACCGAAATCAATGGTTCCTTATTTGGGGTTTCTGTGTATTTTCATCGTGCAATATAACGCGACGTTTGCTCATGGGTAATTGCAAGAGAACAAAAAATAGCTTTCTGTTCTTAACCTTCCCATTCGAAGGATGGATGTTAATACCTTTTATAAACCTCAAACCACTGTTATTAATTGGGAAATTAAAATATAGCCTGATTTCGTAAAAGCTTAGATGACACAGACTGGGAAAATTAATCAACAGGAAACACTGCATAACAAGGATTCAGCTGGAAGCAATGTATCAGATACACCATAATGCTGATCAAGATACAGTATCTGACTGACCAATGACTACCCTAACACACAAGGGAAATATTTTCCTGGACAGTTGCTGTTGGAATTAGCAAAAATGCATGCTCAAGCTATCCCTCCCTTTTCCAGGCATCAGCTTATTATGGTATAACACAGGAACATGGCATCAGCATTCTTTAAAGATACTGAAAAGCAGAAGAATGTGGAAAATAAAACATTATTTTGAGGCCTGGAGGAAAATGTTGCAGTAGGAGGTAGAGAGTTTAATCTGCTTTAATTAACAAGAGAAAGAAAATGGAGAAGTAATTCAGGTTACAAGGGCCCCTAAGAGGAAATTATATCAGCTATTACTCTAAATCAGTGAAAGCATTCCAACAATTGCTGAATGGAAGCTGAAAGCATACAAATTCAAATAGGAGGCTTAAATTTTAGCCAGGTGAGAAATTGCCCCTTGGAACAAACATGATGGATTCTACAGCTCTTAGTCTGCAGATTAAAACTTGATACTTTTCCTCAAATTATGCTTTAGAACAAAGTTGTTGCACTCATTATAGTGATAAATGACTGCTATTTAATGATCTGTAATATAGAGGAGGTGAAAAGAGAAGATCTCGAGGTCTCTTCTCGATTTAAACTTTATGAGTTCACGATGCCTCTTAAATGTGGGATCAAGGACACTAATTAGGGTCAAAGAGGTTATTTTGGGCTGCCTGTCTAGTCAACTTTTCTCACCCAAAACTTAATCCTATGCTTAATAAAGCACTAACATGTGCACTGATATAAAAGTGAAGGTAATCTAGGGTTATGTAAATTTCCTTGGTGAGGGGAATATAAAGAGGTACAACTCTTCTCGTGATTTCTTCTTGAGCTCCATTTTTTTGAATGGCAGAAGGTCACAGCTTCTACTCATTATCACTGATGTGCTTCTTTGAAGTACTTTAGAATTCTGTGATCACAGAAATATGTGATTGTGCTAATGAACGTGAATTAGTGACTTCACTAATTGAAAGATCAGTGAACAAATGTAAATGCATGCTTGCTTAAGCATAGCTAATGCTGTGAATAGTTTTTGTTCACATTAAATTACAGATGTATGTATTTTGCCAGTAATATTCATGTAAATGTGCTGCAGACATGGAGTAGTGTGATAAATGGAAAGGTGCCAGAATTTAATGTCGGTATAATGCAGTGATACTAAAAGAACCGCAGGTACAGCAGACACAAAGATTCCTTTTTCAAGTACCTGGTTTTTTAAGGAAAATGCTTCCTTCTGAAAATTGACTGCACTGAACCATTCTATGAAGCTTTTTACATCATTTCTTTCCAAAGAATGAATGAAGCTTGATTCTATAGAATATTCCTGCAAGAACTGGTACTTGACCTTTCTTCAGTAGTCACTGTGCTACTCATTCAGGGGATAGTTTTCGATTTAGTTCTCCTTCAGCTAGAGGAAAAATAAATTCATTTTTCCACGCTCCAGTAAGATACCCTAGGGTTCCACTGTTTAGTAAAGAATTTAAGATGTAGTGAGATAGAAAGATAACACAAATATAACACAGAGACCGGTGTTCTTGCAGGGTAAAAATTACATCTGATCTCAAGGCACTGGGTAGCATATCAAACTATTTTGATTAGATAGTGAGTGCTTTTTGTTGACACTTTCAAAAGAAAGTGGTAGCTGCAATTTTGCTTTCTGAATAACTGCATGCTGGTATTTTTTTTAACTATGCCGTGACAACAAAAACCAGAAAGGTCTTTGGCATATCTTGGTTTAGGAGTATTCTGTCTTTAAGATCCTGACTGAACTTATGTGCAAGTTAAATGCAGACCATTTTCAAAACAGTAGCCATTTAAGATGAGTATTGGGCATGCACATGTTAAGAGCCAGCACTTTGTCTCTGGTCTTATTAGTTGTATGTTAGAAGAAAGAAAGAAACGATAACTTGACGGGAAGTAAGACAAGTAAAAGGAGTTTGAATGGCTGTAAGATCTTAAGGGAGAGGCAACTGGACAGCTGAAAATAACTAAATCTCCACCACTTCATCATGGGTCAATGGACTGATGGATTTCTTGCAATCTCCGTCATAATGATTCATGCATTTAAAAAATGTTTCCTCAGGGTAATTGGGATTCTAGGTTGGAAGTTTTACTTCACTGAGTAGGGATCATCTTGCATGTGACAAAGAGGAAAGGAATATGTTCAAGAAATGGAGAGAGAGGTTTACTAAGAAAGCAAACTTTCAGTGTTACTTCCAAGAACTAACTATCAGAATGTGGTTTTTTAGTTCTTTTTTTGACTGATTCAGATGTCTTTGGCCTCTTTGTACTACAAGAATAATGATTTCTATCTTAACATTCCTAGTAAAGTGCTTTTATTGCTACTGCAAAACCAGGCATCTCCACCTAGATTGAGACCCCTGCCTGAGCCCTGCCGCAGCAGCACATGCTGGAATATCATTGAGCTGGTCTCAGTTCTCCTGTCACAGAGCAAATATAACTGGAGAATATGTTCTGCCATCCAAATAGAATCATAGAATGGTTTGGGTTGGAAGATCATCTAATGTTTAGATCATTCCTCACCAAATGATGTGTGGATCCAAGGGAATCCACAATTGCAGCTGTTCCTAAACGCATTAGCTGGTGTGCAACTGTCGACAGAAAACTTGAAAATATTCCAGTGTGCAAGAAGACAATCTGAAACTTAAGAGACAACTGGTATAATCTTCCTTCCTCCTCACTCAGTACGAAAGTCTGAAAGATAGAGTAAACTTGCAACAGCTAGTCTCCAAAGTGTATTCTTAGTGGGGAGTGTGATCTCATATTGCTAAAGTAGTGCCAGCTGCAGGAGAATTGAACCCTGATGAAATCCTTGTCTGGGTCTGGAAGTGAGAAGGTTCATGCCTGTTTAATCACAAATTGCACAAGATACGATGAAACAGTCTCACATGCCAGGTTGTTAATGACCTGGTTCACGACCTGGGGCTGTTCAGTGGTAGGATTCTGTGATGTAAGTTCACTATGGTGTTTGCCAGCCTGAGATGCTAAGCTAGAGTCACCTCTTTTTTTTATTCCTGTCATGCAGCTTCATGTCATATGGACTCACATGGAAGTTTAAGATTTAAGGAGCAAGATAGGCTTGGACCAGGCTGTAAGAAGAGCTCTCCCTCTTACCTTGTACTCTGTTAATAAAGGATGTCTGAGAAGAAGGAATGTGTTAAGCAGAGTTGCTCTGCTCTTGCATTGCTGAATTTCGAGAATGCTCTGAAGCAGTTCCAGGAACTAGTTGAAAAAATAGTAACCCAGAAGACAAAGAAGAGGTTAGGCTTGCATATTAAAGATGATGGTAAGAAATACTATTTCTGATGGGAAAGTGTAATATTCATATGGAGAGAAGGTGTCATAGAGCCAAGACTATAAGGAAGACATCAAATTAATGTTCAAACTGTGAGTTTTTATTTTTACAGGAAATAGGCAGATTGTGCTATGAGAATGCTTTTCTGCTCTTAGGACTTCTGATCAAATTATATAATGCCATAGTGATTGCACATAAAATGTAATTGGTGGAGTTGCTACATATATAAGTTAGAACAATGCGATGTTTCTAGTGATCTGTAAAAGCATAATCACAATGGATTATGGAAATGCAGTTGCTTAATTGTAAATAAGAAAGGCAAAGTTTTGCTTTTCTCAGTGCAAGAGGCTATAGTTGAATGGAAGAATAAGTTTATTTCAGAGACCATTCAGGTTCAGATCAACAAGCCACAATCATGGTATGAAAGTAAGAGAAGAAAGAATAGATAAGAATTTTTTACATATTCTTTTATCTACCTGTTTCCCGTCATGCATTGCAAATCAGGTAGTTTTGAAAAGACTGAACGTTAAGACTGATTTTTTTTTTCTCAGAATGCTTTAGTGAATACAGTGTGAGGAGCTAGAACATGCATGCCATTGATATTGAAGGAAAAATAAAACAGGAGGTAGAGGGGATAAGGAAGAAAGCTGAAGCCTGCCAGTTTTTAACTCTGTGGATGTTGTTCCTCCCATACAGATGAGATAGACTATGATACATTCTATACAACCACACAGACACTTTTTGGTCCAGAAATAAAAGATCATAATGTTAAGACCTTTTTCAGGAAGATTTGCCACAACCTTGATGCAGAGACAGAATGGTGTGAGGTAAGGAGTTTTAAAACTTTATTAAATATAATCAACTATTTAGGATCTTAAAAGGATACAGTACTCATCTATTGATTATATGTTGTTCATGAGCTCCATGGCATAATGAGTCACTGTCATATTGTTGTTTATCCTGGCCTCATTAATTTCAAAAAAATATATGAAACTAAAAAAAAATACTAGATAAAATATGTTTTTGGGGCTGAGCTACACAAAAATAAATTGAAGAAGTGGCTTAAAGTAACTTACTTGTTGCTATTATCCTATTCAAGAAGTGATATTTTCATAGAACGGCATAGGCTGGAAGGGACCTTAGAGATCATCTAGTCCAACCTCCCTGTTACAGGCAGGGATGCCACCTCTCGACTAGACAAGGCAGCACATGGGGACCGAGCAGGAATTGAACCCGCAACCTCGGTGTTGTCACTGTTGTCAGCACCGCGCTCAAACCACTGAGCTAACCAGCCCCCAATTTTATTTTAACAAGTTGAGAAAGAAGTAGGCTCCATGTTTAGTTTAATAGTAAACAATTTAGAAACTTCTGTTTGTCCATTTGTTGATTAAATGCAAATTTCCAGGGAAGACATTTAAAGATAGGAGAGTAAAATCTGTCTTGGGAATTTCTTTGTGAAATTTGCATGATGATATCCATTCTGGCATGTGACTTCAGAGCTGAAGGAGTTTGTAATATTGTAAAAATTTAGTTCTTTCTAGCTTACATTATTCTGTGCCTTATACTATTATAATTTTAGTTTAAGTAAGAAAAATCCTATGTTCCTAGTGCCAAAACCTGGAGCATGAATCTTGAGCATCAGAAGATCAGTATTCAATGTAAGTGGAAGTTGTAAATATGTAAATAATCCCTAGAGGCATCCATAGCCTGTTTCACTAGAGCGAAGACTAGTTCCTTCAGGCCATCATGTCAGTGAAAGATTAAGTACGGAAGACCTTTGCTGAGCCCTGCTTTTCCCCTTTCTTTCATGTGGGTAAACATGTGAATATTTTGCAAATTACGGCTTTGTCTCTACAAGGTTTTTGCTAAGAGATTCCCTGTACTGTTTTTTCTACTGACTATCTCTGGGTAATTTCAGACTTCTAAATTTGTCATGCAAAACAGCTTAACACATGGGAGAACTAATGTTGATAACTCTAGAAGATTCTGAAGAGCAAGATTTGCTCATACTGTGCCAGTTACAAAATCAGTCCAGTAATTTCGGCAAGCAGGACTATTTTTCATTTCAAATATGCATGATTTTTCTTATTCCACGCTTTCTTACTCTGAGAGGTACCTGTCCACTTAAAGGCCTGCCATTGGACCTCTGGGAAGCAAGGTTAATTAGAATGAATTGAATAAAGCCTGGGTAAGTTACACATTTATCTGCAGCTGAACTTCTTTTTCCTACCCCTATTTATTTGCTACATCAGCTGAATGTGCAAATCACAATTCTTCTTAAACATTAATTACACTCCACTGGTCTACATGAGCTGGGGAAGTTCCTTCCTGTTACCTCTGAACCAAGATCCTTGGGCCTATTATGTAGATGCACATGAATGCGTGTTAAAGCATGACCTAATTAAATAAAAGCATTTTTCCTGCTTACTTTGTGAAAGAGCACTGAACTGTCGATGAGAACTGCTTAGCCTCATACAAAGTCTGATATACTAGATTCCTAGATACTAGATACTAGACAGGGCAGCAAGATTTGGAGCATGGAGCTTGAGTAAGTCTAGGTCTTCTTTTGAACTACTCCACTGATATGCATTGGCCTCTGGCTTCATGCCAAAATGGAAAGTCTCTGTGATTACAGTATGCAATTTGTGCTCTGAGGGTAAGTCTAGCTTTAGGTTTAGCATCAGAAATACTTCCTCTCTTTTTTCTCTTTCCTCTCTTTCCTCTCTTTTCTCTCTTTTCTCTCTTTCTGCTGCTTCCTTTCCTTCGTCTTCCTCTTTTCACAGGGATAAACCAGACCATTACTTTAAATGTGAAGTATTAGAGGTAGGGCAACATTTTAATAGAGAGATTTTTAACCAGAGAATTCTTCATGTATTCTTTGACTCTGTAGATGGGTGAGATCCATGTAATCAATTTTTTCTGTCTCTAGTGGTGGTAAATAGCAAATCTTTGTAAAAGGTGTATAAGAATGAGGTAACTATGAAATAGTAGATCTGGTTTAGCCCTCCTAGCTTCTGCCTGCACATAGCTTAAGGATTTTCTGTTCCAGAGTTGCTACTGCACTCTATGTTTAGAATCCCTTGATGGACTTTTAATCTGTCATTCTGAACCCACCTGAAAAGGATACTTCCATAGCATCCACAATTTTACACATTTGTCTTGTTTCTTTTAAACATGGTGCTGGGTTTTTTTTTGCATGGGTTAGGAGAAATGATGAACATTTGCTCTAGAAGCAACTGTTCTATAAAAATTTCTGATTTTTATATTGTTGGAGCCAATCTGTATCAAGAGCATTCCTTGTCATAGGTTACGAGATTTTGTTTATTTTTTACCTGAAGACAGAATTGTGCTGATGAGACATAACTTCCAGTACACAGTAACTCTCCTATGATAGTATAGGTGCATTGTGCATATGGCAAGTCCTTGCTGGAATTAAAGCCATAAGACAAGGTGTCACAAGCTACAAATTCATTAGCATACTTCCATTTTACGTTACACTGGAACATCACATCATTATTTGAACCTTGAATATACTCAGCATCTGTTCTTTACATGTTAACAACTGCTATCAGGCTATCAGGTAATTTCCTAATACCGTTCTCCTTCAACATGAGAGGATACTTGAAGGTGAAGTCCTGGATTTGCTCAGCATTTCTTTGAAACTCTCCAAAACTAGAGGGAAAAAAAGACATTCCTGGATTTGCTGGTACATGATATACAAGCTAAGGTCTTGAAATAGCCAGCTGCCAGCAGGTGTGCTGAAGTACTGTATGATTACAGCACTAGTCAAGTTCTTTTACAATTCAAAATTCTCTAGCTCATTTCAACCTTCTTACAGATCTGTATGGTTTTGGAAAGATCTGACAATCTCTTATGTAGCTGTGGTAAGCTAGACACATACCCCATACATTAAGATATGTTCTATGGATGTGAAGCAGGGACCATTTGAGAAAAGGACTTTTGAATTCATGGTGACTGTCAGGCTGACAGTCCTTTCTGTTTAGGAAAGCAGAACAGTAACAAATTATCTCCAAGCTCATTAGTTTATGAAAGAACTGAAGGAAAGCTCTGTTTGTTTACTGGAGTATCTTTTGCTCCAAAACCTTACCTGAGTTTCCAGTGCAATCAGATTAGTTACCTGGGCTACACAATTACACAAGCAAGCACAATGTGTGGGGTCTAATAAAAGAGCTCAAGCCTCTTTAGTTTCCTTATGAAATCCGTCTGATTTACCTGGGATAAAATTCCTCAGAACACTTCCTATGAGCATTCCTCTAATTTTACCAAGTGTGAGCTGACTGATGACAGCAAAATGTCCTCTTTATAAACTTTCTTGGGAAAAGAGGAGTGTGGTGGTCAATGAATCTTTAACATCTCACAGCATGCATTTCATGTAGAAGATGGATATCACTGAGAATATATTGAGTGTTGTAGGGAGTTAAATAGAAATATGTGTTGTTTCCCTGTTCAAAAGAAAACGGATTAAAGTGTTAATGAGTTATTTTATTTTGTTTCTCTTGTGGGGAGAAATATTTAAAATAAAGTAAGTGGAAATTAATCCATGATGGCAGAATTCAATTATGAAACAGTCAAAGATCAGACTACCTAAATTAGCTTCAATTTGACATTGATTTCTTTACCTTGACACAGACTTATCCAGCACAGTTTGAAATATAATTCTGCATTGAAAAGCTGCAGTGGGTTTTTAGCTTTTTTTTTGTTTTCTTTCTGTTTGGTGGAAAATCTGATGGTGATATATATTACAAGTTATTTATACCTTTTGGAACATGAAGTTAAGATCATTTCAGGACAAAAGGATAAGATTTGGTTTTTGAGTAGTCGTATATATAGAGAGATGAAGACTGGATTAAGAAAAATGCTGACTCCTAGAATTCTCCAGATTTAGCTTACACTGAAACAGAATAATTGTTGCATTCATCATTTGATTGTTATCTAAGCCAAATTTACATCAACCATAACTTCAGTATCAGCTTTTTTTTCTACTATAATTGTGATAACATCCTATTTGTAATGATTGGATCAAACCAGATATTTTTCGGCTTATTTTAATGTGTTCTAATAAAGGGTTCAGGTAATCCCACAGACTTATTAATGTCAGGAATTAAACCAATGCTCTTTGTTCTTCTAACTATGCCACAGGCTTATAAGTGTAGCTGTAACACAGCTCTGAAGTCTCATCTCTTTTTCACCTCTTGACATTCAAAGATGTACATGTTTACTTACTGGTGCAAATCATAAACCCTTTTTTTCTTCCACCCATATCAGTACCACTTCTTCTATTTTTAGTTTCTTATTTTCAAGCTGACTCTATTAAACATTTGAGCAGCCTAAGTCTTTTTTTCTGTTAAAAAAAAAAAGACAGCAAATCATCTTTCCATGCTTGAAAACTCTGTTGAAATTATACTTGGCCTTTTAAGACTGGAAAATATTCTGGGTCTTCTAGAAGAGACAAGCTGTTGCTTGAGAGAGAGAGTGAAAGAGACAGACATGCTTCCCATAGCTGACACATTCATTCATATAATGTTAATTAAACTACTAGTTGTATTGGAAAATCACACTTATAAACTGCAGCTTGGACATATCATTAATTATCCCCTGTGAATAATGTAAGTGGTCTTGACCTTGCTTCAACTTCCTGTTTTTCACTTAATTTTTCAAATGTATCATTGCTAACAGTTACTTTCTGTAGGATCCTAAATAGCCATCGTGGTTTCTGCTGTCTGTGCTCCAGTTTTCTAACGATTTTTTCTGAAAGGCCTGTCCCTGTTCTTCTGAGTTCCCCTGCTGCTTTGGCACTGCTGAGCATGCCTTCAGTCTTGAAAGTCAAGGAAGAGGGATACGTGTCACTTTGTTCCTTTGATACTTCGGTCATCTCTGTCTCTCTCTCCCTCCACCTCCATTCCCCAGAGCTCTATTCCTGACCCTTTGTTCCTCTCTTCTCACTCTCACAGATCTAATTTTTTCAAATTTACCTCTCCATATCTAGCCTCTCTTTAGCTTGACAAAATCTTCCAAATATATTTCCATGATCTAGAAGATCATGGCCTTGTATGAGTACTTCTATTTCTGTATCTTCCTGATGTTTCTCTTTTTCAAGTACCTCTGTGTTCAAGGAGTCTCCACAACAGTATACTGATACTCAAGGGACACTTTTTTTGTTTAAAAAACACCACATTACAATAATTTTAAATCTTCTCTTTAGTTAAATTAGGATCTACCCTTAGTTATTTACACATAGTATAGATCAAAACCTGCCACAAGAGTATTAATTGATGATAACGGCAAGAGTATGTTTTTGATTTTTTGGGGACACACTCCATTATAATGCATTAACCACACCAGTTCTTTCAGAACATTTCAGTTTAACACTCAACAATCTGGGGATTCAGATGGAACTTAGAACAGTGAGAATCAACTGTGAAAATGGTATAACATGAAACCCAGTCCAGATGTTTGAATTACTAATATTACCACTTTTCAATTTATGGTGGGTATTGTGAAGATTATGTTATGATGCCTTTGTAAGAGGAGCATACACTGGGAATTTAGGATACTAAATCCTGTATCCTGTTTGGATATATGATGGAAGGATGAGGTGATATTACAAGAAAATAGAAAAAGGAATGTGAGGGGCTATAATAGACAGATGATGTCTTGACTGATGATGTACAATAGATAATAATTGTGTGCATGGTAAGGAAGGAGCTGTGAAATGCAAGGTGAGGAGTAATGTTATGTAAGAATTTTTTTTTTAAGATGTACATCTGAATCTCTCAAAGAAGAAAAATGAGAATTCTGTTGTATAACATAAAAAACATTGAACTAGAAAAAAGTGCAAGCGTATTCCTTGCATCCAAAGGGGCATTGTTTTTAGATCATAGATCTCATGAAAGAAAGTGAGAATGTATAATGTCCATAGTATGAGAAAGGAGATAGAAAAATGTGTATAGCTGAGTGCAGCTGAACTCATTTCCTGAGGAAATTTCTAACCTACTCTTGAGTGCAGAGCCTGATGTTTGGAGAGCATTTCAGCTGAAGTATTGTCACACCCTGGAACAGAAATGAGCTTCTTACCTGAATATCCTATGTAGGAATTTCCATCATGATCATTACAAATGGAATATTCCCAGGCTTAGGGAGATGCCTGAAAAAGAATTTTTTAAAATGCAGTTAATATTTTTATTTTTTTCAGGCAAGTGGGAATTTACATATCTTTATGGAAAAGTTCTTCTTCCTTGTAGGCTAAGCCACTATAGTACTTTGAATCTCTCAGTTTATAAGTATAGAGAGGTCTGATTTGTCTGTCTTTTGCTGTTTTTTCTAGCTGAGGTCTAGCTGCAGAAGCACAAGTAGGTAAAACTAGAAACAGGAAATTGAAGATGATTATTTACAAACAATCGTTACAAGGCAAAGCTGTACTAAGATCTTTATCAATTAGATCGTTTTTCTTTCTAGAAGCCCTGTGTATGCTGGCTTCTTTCCAAACATTGAATAGAGATTGTGCCTGAGTAGCAGATCTCAGCACTCTAAAGTCATATTGACAGCTAATGGTTAAGGCAAATAACACTAGGATGTTTCCTCAAAGAATTTTAAATGATAAAACCGTGAGATAAATCTTTGAGTTTATACATCTAAACATATATTCCAGAGGTAGTTTTATTATAAATTGCTTGCTTTTTTTTTTTGCTTTTTTTTGTGTCTAGATTTTTGGCTATTTCAAAGGAGAAACTGATGCCACGTCTTCCCTGCTGAATGATGAAAACATGGTTTTCCTTGTATCTGAAAAACAGCAGATTACTCACACAGGTGACATATTTCATCTTGTTCCCGAAGTTATTTTTTTTTAATACCATGTAATGCATACTTTATTGAAAGTACAGTGATAAGATTGCAAGTCTGCCTTTGCTTATTATTCACACTTCTGCTTCTTCTTATGTGTTCCATATTATGCTTTTTTACTAAATTCATCGCATTTCTAAATGCTGCTGCAGCTGTGCCCAATTCTCTATTTTCTAATTTTTTTTGAAATTATGAATTTGCCTGACTCAGACTATTTATTTATGCAGCTATTCTTTGTTTTCTCTATCTTTTTAATAATGTAGAAAGAACTAGCATATTCATAATGCGTTAATGGTATTAAAAACCACAACATGATTATTTAAATCATGTATAGGATAATCTATGATATAATGCATTACTGCCTTGGAGATGGTACTTGAAATACACATTATTCCAGGAAGAGAAAATGTTCTTGATATTTTGGTTCTATTTGTTTAGATTCTCTGTGTCTATAAGATGAAGAGTAATATTTTGTTGTTGACAGTTGCCAAGGGACAAGATGATGTGATTAAGGCTATAGTGAGGGTGCCCCATCTGGATTTCACAGTAACATCCTCTCAGAAAGGAGTGTTAACTATTTTTGACAACCAGGTAATTCTAACTCAAACAAACTTTTTTTTGATTTCATTAACCAATGTATATGGGAACTGAATGAACTGTGATCTAGCATGCAAATGTTCCCCCCAAAAAGCTAGAGTTTTTTAGTAAAGTTAACTTTTTCTGTATTAAGTACAGTAGGAAATATATACCTTGTTAGTCTCAATTATAAACCTACTGAAGAGTCCACAGAAGTTGGCAGAAATAAATAATATTCATTATTAACAGAAGTAATTTTAATATAATCTGCATTTATTTTTAGCAAAAGTTTCCCTTAATATAAAATATGCTATATATTTGCATATGCAGTAGAAACCAGAGAATCAACTATTTTCTACAGCTACTGAGAATATCTAGAATGAACAGAAATATTTGTGAGCTGTTTGAAAAGAAGAGTTATTCAATACAGCAACATCTAGAAGCTTGAAAATCTTGAATTTTCTGACACTCTATGTAACACTGCTGCACAGTTACTCTTATCAGGAAACTGTAAGGAGTTCTTTAGCATTTTAACTAGTTTAGGCTCAAGATACTGTTAAAGTAGAATTTGTAAATGGGTCTCCCAGATGATTATATTACTATTTAGAGGTATGCACTTCTAGATACTATGAGGTACACACACACTTATGCTCATCGACGCTTTACATTTGTACACTTTTAATACAACCAGTTTATTAAAAATTGTTTCAGAAAATACAGTAAAGCTTTAAAGCAGCACTAATGCTTTCTAGGGCTTTTAGCTAATTGGTGCAAAATGCTTATGACGGGAGCATCTAAAGCAAGAAAGGTCGCCTGTGGATGATTAAACAACAAAGCAGTACTGCCGTTTTGGTAAATACTGAAACAATTTATTTGAAAGCCTAGTTCTCTGTCCTCTAAAGCATTATCCCTCTTACATACCTGTGAATAATAATACCACAAAGTATAATGTTAAAAATAGCTCTCTTCCCCACCTCCTACCTCCCATGCTGTTTTCAAGTTGAATAGGCTGGACTGATGTCATTCTGACATCAGTGACTGCAGCGTAAGTGATTTTGCACCCAGCTGCTTAACACAGTGAATTAGACACATCAAATCCCACTTATAAAGTGTGTGTTCTGAAAATTGCTAAGGCATTATAACAGCAGTCATTTACCCATGATAGGATCGCTGATCTCAGTTGATCTGAGCAAATGACTTTTGACTTCATTAGAATTGCTCTGCTGTATCTTGATGCAAGCAAGAGAAAATTCTGGTTCTCTAGCGTTGCAGTCATTTGAGTCCTGTTGCTAGAATATGACTTCTCATCAGAACAGCAAATACAGAGTTGGCAACTTTTGTATCATTCTTCTTTGCTCAGACCAAGTATTTAAGGAGACCTGGCCTTAAAACCTCAGCTAGTGAGTTTTTTTTTTCTAGTTTGGCTTTGCAGCATATTGGTAAGGGAATATGAAAATGCTTTCTCTAAAGTGCTGCTTGATGGGACTTGTGCTTTTGGTGGAGAGGCTGAAATATGAGTTCATGAGCACTGCATTGACAAATAGACAGGAAGGCTTATTTTTAAGATTATTAAACATAGGGTATTTCTCGATGCTCAGAACTCAGTGTCTTCTATTTACATGAATGAATAATATTTGGTCAGATATAATTAGTGAATCTAATATAATACAGATTTTAACTGTGCCACTTCTGGAGCATTTCACTAGTAAGAAACATACACATGGAAGGAAGAGACAGGTACTGCTATTCATTCACCCTGGCATAAATTGATGTCCAGTGCAACTAAGCTTTCCATAAGATCAACTTGGTATTATTGTCTTTGCTTTTTGAAAGGAAAGAGAACTCGACAATTTCCTTAATGGTTGTGTTGGACTAGATGATCTCTAGAGGCCCCTTCCAACTCTGACGATTCTGTGTGTTATATCCTTGGAGTCAGTTGACAACCTAGTTGAGGTCTTATTGGATATTGGGTAGAAACTGAGAATTTTTTTTTTAAAAAATAAAAACTAATTTACACATAAGAATAGGAACAATAGAGAGACTGCAAACCATATCACTGCTTGTCAGTCTATTAAACTTCAGTTAAATAGGATTTAGTCAGATTTTTTATCAGCAAATAATTAGTGTCAGTCATGGTAGATGGCATTAAGAATGATAATTTAGTCTGTATACATCAAGATAGCTTTCAAGATCATCTCCTATTTTACTACTGGTATGCTTCTGTTATCCACTATGTAAATTGCTAGTGAATCTAATTGTCTACAAGGTCTTGGAGACTTCTCTTAACCCTACTTGCTGTGATAAGAAATTCCATGTTCTCTTACATATCTGGGGCTATTGGAAATTGAAATGAAGGCAAAGAAATATTCATTTGTAGACCAGCAGGTTCTGGGCACTGGTGAGGCAACACCTCGAATCCTGTGTTCAGTTTTGGGCCCAATAGAAAGGATTTTTAGGTTCTGGAGCATGTCCAGAGAAGGACAACGAAGGTGGTGAAGGGTCTCGAGCACAAGTCTTATGAAGAGCAGCTGAGGAAACATCAGAAGAACAGGTGATCTGTACTCCACTGTAAAAAAAATGGTATTTCTTTTACGTATTTTGCTCACTCCAACATCTCAATTTAACAAACCAAAAAAAAAAAACAAACAAGCCATGAAACAACTGTAAGAGAAAGCTCCTCACTATATATAGGGGAACAGTCAGGAGGTACGCTAAAGATCTTTCTAAGAAGATCTTAACTGTGAACTCTTTCTGTTGGCTATTGTTGTTCTGTTCTGCCTGTGATACAGGAGAGCTGATTGTGTTTAGACTTTTAATTTAATTGCTAACTTGTGGTTGTGACAATATTTTTTTTTCAGATGAATGTTCTGGCAACCATCAGTGTTGAAGTAAGTTCATTTTCCTCCTGTTAAATTAGTTTAATTAAAAATCAGTAGGTACTAAAGTGAAATAATTAGAAACTGAGCATTATTCTAATGCTACCCAACCTTGAGACTTCTGCGTAATTTTTCATAGAGTGCCATAGGTCAAACAGGTTCAGTTTATTCCATTTAACTGTAGAAACAATTGAGTAACTTGATATCTTTCCCCTGATAAAAAGAAACCTCAGATAAATGCAGATTTTTCTACCAAATTGTCCCTTACACTTTATCCTTCCAGAACTTTTTCTTCTAAGATCCAACACTTCATTGTCACTGTAAAATTTAAATAAGAAAAATTCTAAGTTGTTTGGGAGAAAAAACAGTTCTACATATTGCTAGCTTAATTGGTTGGCTACACAGTATATACTTCAAAAAGCTCATTTTCACACCAGGAGTACCACAGCAGTTTTTAGGTCATGAGCTTCCTTCAGGTGACCCACAGACAAGAGAATGGTCATCAGTCCTAACAAAGTGCCCTAGAAGGCCGTGTAGGTATCTTGTTCCAGAGGGCACTGCATTTCATTGATTTTCTCTCACATATTGTGGATGTTCTAAAACGCAATAGAAGTACTCTAGACCAGAGGCCCTACTACTCCAACTGAGAAAAGAGCTCTGGGCCTGGGTTGCATTTAATTTATTGCAAGGAGTAATCTGACCTGTGGGATCGATACAGAGAGGTAAACTGTGAGTAACATTCTTGGGAACTATCACCTTTTGGAAACTTTTACTAGAATCAATTTAGAGCTTCTCCTACAGCTGTGTTACAGGAATGAATTTTGGTAGTTTGTCCCTGCTTTGCTTGTAGGAAGTATTTCCTCAGTCCACATATGCAAAGGTAGGATCAGAACAATGTTTGATGCTCGTCCCTGGAGATGCTGAAGTGCCAGCCTGATGCTGCAGTGAGCAACATGTGGCTGCAGGGTCCTTTTCCTCTCTGAGCAATAAGCACTAATTTTAGAATGATTCCTCAGTGGATCTAGAGGTCTTTTGCTGGGGCAGTAGGGTGGTACTTGGCAGCCATGGCAGAATTGGGCACCACAGAACAACATTTCTTCCATAAAATGTGTGAGAAGAAAATGTGTTTAACATAATGGCATCTCTCAGTACAATGGTGTAATACCATAATTGTTAGGATTGCAATTCCAAACTAATACCATACGAAAACTGCTAATTTTGTTGTCCACAGATAACACTGTATCTGAGAGCACCCACTTCTGTAGAGCTCTGGACCAGATCTGTGTGGTCTATCCTGATCTGCTGTCTTTGTTGTCCACTCTCCATCTTTTGCCAGCTGAGATGTTTCCACTTTTTTCACCCTTCCCTAGGAAAAGGAAAAAGTTAGAAATAGTCTGGATTCCTCCCCTTTGGAATGGAGTATCACTGCTACTGGGCATCACTGGATCGGTTGAGATCATTATTGCTGAGCATGGCACTCTCTACCATAGGGTGTAAAGTCTTTCAGAGGGAGAATCTTTGGCTTCCCAGGGACATTTAATTGACTAGGCAACTGACAATGAAAAGAGAAACCCATGCTTACTACCCTATGAAATACTTCTGGCTTTAAGCCTGACAGATTTAATGATGTCATCTAACTTCCATTGTTGTTATTCACTTTTTTAGTATTGGAATTGTGAAATTTTCAGATGGTCTAGTTAAAAATAACCCTCTTCTGCTTTGTGATCTGCCTTGTCTTAGGGAATAGGCAATCTTATCCAGCATTCTTATTTAAGTGTTTGGACTGATGGTCCGTGCCTTAGCCAATTTACTTTCTTGTCATCCTTCTTCTACCTACTGTACTGAAAATATTACTGGGCTTGAGATTCCTGAGCTTTTTGGTGATCATTAAAAGATTTTAATGCTTGCAGAACATAATACTTTAAGCTATTTTGTTCTTAAAATTTAAATTCTATAGCCTTACCCCAAATTGCAATGAAATAAAATTCTGGATTTTTTGAGAAAATAAATTCCGCTTTCCAGACAGTTAAAATATATAATGTTATAAATTTATTAATCTGAGGATTCTTTGAGAGATACATCTCTAAGGGTTGGGTCACAGTTTTTCTATTGCATAGTATGCTTATTAAAACTGTAGCTTTGCATTTTAATAGCTTTTATCTAAACACTTATCAAAGGACAATATCTTATTACTTACTTATTAAAGATATGTTGTGCTATACTAGTTGAAGACATCAGCACCAAATGGCTTAATGTACAACTATGAATAATACCTTGTGATTAATTTCTGAATAGCTAAATAGAGAAAGCTGCCTTTGCCTTGCACGGCTTACATTTCTCTTTCTCAGATCTGCAGAATTAACAGTCCATTCTTTCCTCACTACCATTATTATGTCATTCTAATCTGTCATCATCAATATTGGCATTAGGTAATTGACCAAACTATATATTCGTGTGCATCTTTGTGTAAATGAAGTAAGGTTTTGAATCAGAGGTAAGTTATCAGACTCCAGACCTTCCATCCATTGACAAACAATAATATATGTAGAGGGTAGCTAAAAAATTGCAGAACAGTCCTTAGGTTCCTCTACCTTTTTCCATTCAGTGTTATTCTTCTTTCAGAAGAGAGATTTACTCAACTAGAGTGACAGAGGTCTTCGCCCTGGAGATATTGAGCCAGAAAGGCTGTGAACCGTAGAAGTTCTAGAAATAAAATCTAATACACTGCAGTCATCAGAACTTTCCCAACATCCTGATAGTATAAATGGAACAGGAACTGAGTACAGATCATTTATTGTTTTGTTCCAGGGAAGTTGCAGAGAACAGATCTGAAAACCTGATTTCATTTCTTGATGTAATTATGTGACTGAGTGAAAAGAATAGAGGCATAAATATAATACACTTAAAACTCTGTATAGTATTCAGCTTAATAGACTCATAGAATAATAGAATCATTCAGGTTGGAAAAGACCCTTGGGATCATTGAGTCCAACCATTAACCCCACTCAAAAAATCTCACCTCTAAACCATATCCCGCAATACCACATCTAAGTGATCTTTAAACACATTCAGAGATGGTGACTCCACCACCTCCCTGGGCAGCCTATTCCAATGTCTGACTCCTCCTTCTGTGAAAATTTTTTTCCTAATGTCCCCTCTGAACCTACCCTATTGCAGTTTGAAGCTATTCCCTCTTGTTCTATCGCTAATTACTCATGAGTAGAGACCAGCACCAACCTCTCTACAATGTCCTTTCAGGTAGCTGTAGAGAGTGATGAGGTCTCCCCTCAGTCTCCTCTTCTGCAAACTAAACAGGCTCAGCTCCTTCAGTCGTTCTTCCTAAGATTTATTCTCCAGGCCCTTCACCAGCTTCGTTACCCTCCTCTGCACTCGCTCCAGCAGTATGTACTGTATGACTTTCTGTTTTAAAATATGACCACTGAAGAAACTGCAAGAGTGCATGGATTACCAATCGTCCAGCTGGCAGGTCACAAAAATAGTAGTCAGCATAGAATTATTCCTGAATCGTGATGGGAATACTTGTAGTGAACAAGTCACTTCCCTTGAAGAATGGAAAAAAATACAATATAGAAAAGCATAAACAGGCCCAGTGGATGAGCCAAACAAACTGAAATAGAAATTGTATTGGCAATGAGGGAGTGAAGATAGAACCCTTGAGTGACAGGATGGAACAAGGAAATAATGAAAAGGTTGATTTGGTGCAGCTGCCTCATCTGTCTGTCAAGTACAGCAGTGCTAAGAAGAGCAATTCTTAAAGCCTTTGCTCTAAAGCTGAAACTAGGCAGCAGGTTTTGCTTATAGTCTCCAGCAGACTGTTCTATCAGCCACTCAGTGTATCAAATTAATCTATTAATTGGTGCACTGCTGCCTTCAGGACTTTCATGCTATTAGTTTCTGAGTAGTCGCAAGCCACACTAGAGCCTATTTTGCTCAAGAACTTCCATTCTGGATCTTAAGTACTATGCTCTGCTGTTTATTCCACAGGCTGAGGTCCTTGAACAAGAACTGGCTTGGAAAGCCATGCTAGCTAACTTGAAGTATATCTGTCTCTGTTAGGCTCTCAACTTCTCAGTGGACATTCTCAGAAGCAAATTATGCAGGAAGCCAAATTCAGTTATTATTGTGGTCTCTCCAGGACTTCATAACCACTGATCTTTTCAGTGATTTAAATAATCTCACTAGAAGTATTAAAGACAAATTTAGTGCAATTTGTCTTAAGATCAGAATGATTCAGTTTTATATATGAAAACACTTCTACTGCTTCCTGTTCAAGGAAAATTCTATGTCTTTATGCTAGATCTGTCCCTGACTGGCAACTTCTAATAAACATAGAAGAAACACTTTTTTTTTCATTTTGCTGTTATATTATCAAATATGGCCAGGCCTATAAATCAAGCAAAAAGAAAGAACAGGATAAATGCTGAGTACATTTTGCTGATTCTTGCTTTCTGCTGACTTATACAAATTGTATGTCATGTGTTGAAACACAATTTTTTCAGGTACATTTTTAGACTGCCAGTCAGTAATTAAAAGCATTTATTTTCTGTAGAGAGGAGAATCTTAGAAGAGAAATTCTATCTTGGCCATCATTTTCCTCCTGTTTTCTCCACGTGTTATTTCAACATCTGTTTCCCTCTCACTGCTACTTCTCCAAGGGAGTAAGTCTTCAACCCTAAGAGAGAAGGATTTTCCCTGAGAACATGCTAAGCATTAAGGTAGATTTATGCAGCAATTCATGAGTGCGTGTTTCTTGCTTCTTTCCCCTAGGGACTAACTAGTCCTTGTTTGACAGTCTGATTTTCTAGTCACAGATACTGTGACAAGAGAGGGAAACTGAAGCCCATGCTCGTACCTTGTTTGGTGGCTCAGCATCATTAGCTACATGGAGTGAACAGTGAGGGGCACACTGATGTCCAGAATTACCTGATAAAACTGGACCCGAAGTTGTTTCCTAGATTGGTGAGAAGTAGAGACTATTAAGGCTCTGTTGAGTGTAAGCAAATGGACTAACTTATAATCCAATGTAATTAAGAAACTAACTAAATTTTGTAAAGATTAGGTGCTTAGTTGTGGAAAGTTAAATGTTTCTAATTTTTCCTGGATGTGATCTTTAAGGTCTCTGCCAACGCAAACCATTCTATGATTCTGTCATTCTGTGAATAGATGATTGTGCCATTGCAGACATAGCAAATGAAGCGTATTACATTTCAATCTCCCTCTCATTTAGGAAGGTCCGTTACATTTGTGAGAAAAAAATCAGGGAGCTATTAAAGTTTCAACAAAAACCAAAATTCTCACCAGTGTGGTAGTGAGTTTGAGTCTCTGATCTTACACTTTGCAAGAGAAATTATTGTATGTTAAGATCAGTATAACTGGAGGTATACTTGACTAATTGCTTAATATGGGCAGATGTATATATTTTAAAATATTTGATCTACCTATCAGGAGAACTAAAATTATTTAATATGAGATACTCATTTTCATAAACATTCATTTCAATTGGATTTGTGCTACTATAGCTGAAATTTTGACTGCCTTTAAGTTACTTTTTTTTTTTTTTTGAATCAAACCGCATCCACTTAAAAACTATACCAGCTTTACCATGGATGTTTTAGCTCAAGTTTCCTCTGCTCAGAGTGCTTTTTTCAGACTGTTATTACAGTTCAACTAATAGTATCTGTGTATTGTGTCCTCTCATGTCCAACATCTGTGTGTCTGAGGTGACTGAATGATAACTGAGGTTGAGCCTGACACCTTTGTAACTGCATGTATGAGCCATTCCTGGAGTTAGAACTCCCAGTTCTGTTAGCTGAGCCTGGACTTAGCAGCTGCTAGTTCAGCATATATGGAATCTAAGTGGAGATGGTTTAGAATATGTACTTAAATGATAGAGAAATTTATAAATTTATACAGAAAATTCTTCTTTAGCTACCCTTTTTATTTTCATCAGAGTACTGCTTGGATCACTGGATGTGATTTCCTGCCTCAGCTGAAATGTATTGTGGCTGTAGCTGAAAGGACAGTCATCGTCTGGGACTATAAACTAAAGGAGAGCAAGGTATTATGTTGGATCAGGCAAATGTTAAAGAAGAAGCCTAAAAAAGATTCATCTTTGTTTTCAATATACATTCACATTACTTTTATCTAACAGAATGAAAGCATTCACTTTGTCTTTTTAGGAAATCTGAAACAGTGGAGTTTATACTAAGGAAGTAATACCCTTTCTAGGTATTAGTAGAGTGTCTTAAAAGCCTGGAAGAAAGAGGAACAGTTTGTGCTATATTGCAAACAGACCCCCAAAGTATTTATTTTCTTTGTATATATAATGCATGTGTGCGTACATGTGTAACTAATGTGTGTGCATGTGGATAAGTATATCTTGGAATCTATTAACAATCAAGGGACATATTTTCCAAGAAATGTAGCATAGACTCCTTTGAGATAAATTCCTGATTTAAAGAAAATAATTCTTCATTTCCTGCATTTTGTTCAGGACTTCCTAGGAAAAAAAGCATCTTGATGATAGCGTATGTCCAAACCATTAAAGTTTTCTTGAATGCTTTATTACAAACTACAGTTTTTGCAAGGATTTCTGACCCATTCCTTAGCTTTTTTCCTCCTTCTCCTGGGACATCTCTCAGAGACTCTGAGTTGGCTGAGAAGATGAGAAGAGACAAAGTAAATAGTTTCAGGATAAGATCAAGTCTTAGGATTTTTGTTGTTGTTGTTAACATTAGAAGGCTGTTCTCCAAGCTCACATAGGTCTTTCTGTCAATCCAGATCAAATCGTGGGAAGAAAGGCTCACGAATTTATTCTCAACTATTATTCTCAACGTTTTGTCCAGTCATTTACATCAGTGAGAGCTGAAAGTATTCTGTGGCTGAATAAAAGCGGTTCTCTTTTGAGACCACAGAACTAATATATAGGCAGTTCTGTATCTGTGTTATGTCTCTTTAATGTTTTTTATGCTACACTGACAACATTGAAGCAGTTAATTCCTACGGCATGTGAACAGTGGCCAGTTTAGGTTGGCAAGGATGCTTTAATCAAACAACAGATGGAGTCAGGCAGTAGAACCGATAAGGACTATAATACAGATGACCCAAAATATCATTCTCAGGCCTTCATAGTTTAGCAAAATACCACAATGGCTTGCAGCTGTATTCATTCCCATTATCGCAATTGCTAGAAATTGGAACATCTCCCCATACAAGTACCCTTGGTACTCCCAGGCTGTATTAATAATTAGGACTCTGATATAATGACTCTCTGTGTGATACCACTGCACTTTGTGGTTTGAATAATTCTTTAATTTGGCTATTTCCCATTTTTTTCTAAACAGCATCTTATTTTTGAAAAGGAAACCATATACAGTCTTAGCAAATATACCATCCTACCTAGCACAGTGAGATCCTTTCTAAAATTTATAATTAATATTTCCTCACTGAAATGGAAAAAGCTATCTATGAAATACAGCCTCACTGAAATCCTTAAAAGTTTGCATTCAATTTCACTTGGTGATGATCTCCCATGAATTTCTAATACCAGGAAACAGCTATCACAGGGGGAGCTTGAAAAAACAAAATCAAGAATTGAAAGCTGCTATAAGTAGGCAAGCATGAAATGTTCAGTCTTGTGTGCAATATCTAATAAAATGTCTACCATGTTTCACAGAATAATTGCTTTATCATCAAGCCAATGGCAAATGGCCTGCTCTGTGTTTGCACGGTGACTATGTCAGACCACCAGGCTAAGGATAATATCCTAATGGGAGATGATAAGGGTTACGTTCACCTGCTTACTGTGACCAGTGATCACTTTGGATGGAAACAATGCAAAGGCAAAAAAAAATCACAACATCAAGTCTTGGACTCCAAGTTATTTAACATGTAAGTTGCTTATGATAAAATATTATCAGTCTGGTAATTGTATTTTTTTTTAATTTGGGTTTTCTCTGGCCTAAATGGAGGATTAGCTTTTGTATATAAACACTACCTACCAAAGAAAATTTTTCAAACTGCAGTAAGTATGATTTGTTTATTGTTGTGTGAAGGAAATGCCATCATTTTCAGTAGGACATCTTACAAGAGATCTTACGGAGAGGCTGCAGACTAAAATTCCAGGGAAGAATTCACAATTGCTGTTATCCAGGTTGACATAGGCACAGTTTTATTGTGCCCAATTAGATGGAAGCACAATTGCAACTGGAGAAGGGTATGATTGAACCCTAACTTTAGCTGTTCTTGCTTTTGAGTTGAAAAAGTGGTTCTGTATCTGCTCTGGATATTAAATGCTAGTATTGGTTATGCATAATCTCACTGACTAAATCCCTGTACAACTATAGGCATGTTACAGTAGATACCAGTATAAACTAAACCTCTCAATTTATATCCCTAGTGTTAAACGCAAGCTACATGATGACTGGGTTGTGAAAGTTAAGTATATTTCTGACCTAAATTGTTTTGGATCCTGCTCCTCAGACAGCATTCATTCATTTGTTTTGGATGACATAAAGCGACTGGAGGACAACTTGTAAGTATATTTTCTGAAACCTGGAAGTTACCTTCTGACAAAATAGAACTTTGGCTTTATAACTCTGCATGATGCCAGCACCCTGCAAGATGCCATCCTGTTGTATCGAAGCTGTCTTTTCTATAAGCATTTCTAATACAAACAAATATATAGCTACTTAAATAATTGAATATTTTTGTTAACTGTCGATGTACGAGAGGAGTGCCTATAAATATTCATTACTCACAACCGTGAGAAATGATTTATGTTGGCAGTGTTGTCTGCCTCAATTCTCAGCAGGTAGATTTTGGTTAGAAAATTGATTGCTTTGTTACATGTGTATGGTTGTTAAGCATTGGAACAGTCTGCACATGGAGGTGGTGGAGTCATCATCCCTGGAGGTATTTAAAAGACATGTAGCTGTGGTGCTTAGGGACATGGTTTAGTGGTTGGCTTGGCAGTGTGAAGTTAGGGGTTGGACTTGATGACCTTGAAGGTCTTTTCCAACATAAATGATTCTATGATTTAAAATCTATATCCACAAAAATAATATTTAATTAAGTTTAATTTACAGTTCGATTTCACAAGTTTCAGTTACACAAGCTTAAACCAAAGAAAGCAATTTATTCTGAGGGCTGTGAAATGGATTTACTGGGCAGCAGAAAAGTGGTTGGGGCCTCCTTTGTGCCTTATCCTTCTTCGTGTGGCCCACCCATGCTAGAACTGATTCTGAGCCTTACTAGTCTGTGATTTTAGATCATAAAAACACAATTTGATGTGAAAAAAAAAGAAATAACTTATAGATAGAACTTTTCACTCAAATATCTCCAAAGCATTGTAAACATCAGCTGAGCTTCGCAATTCCTCTGTGAGGTACATCTAGAGATTAATAGATTTTTAAGGCTAGTATCATGAATTACAATAATCTGTTTTATCTCTTGTATAAGACAGGCTGTAAATATTCACACAGTAACTCTTGCATCGATCTCATAACTTTAGGTATAGTAAGTATTGCATGTTTGTTGTGGATGGTGGATGTGAAATATGAAATAATTACAGCTTGTCCGATGTCATATGCTGTGTCAGTAGAGAAGCTGAGAAATCGTGTTTGATTTTTTAGGAGTTTTGGAAAAATAAAATTAATTTGAGGAGAAAGAACTCAAAGTCTGCAGAGCCAAAAGTATAGTCAAAAGAGTATATGCTACCAAATATACTGTTTTCAATACAGGACATTAACTGCAAATGTCTTAGTAGGTCTTTTTCATTTAACACTGACTATAATTGTGTCTCCAATTGCAATAAATACATTTTTCTAAGCAATTTTACACAGCAGTTAAATGAAATTATATTTAGTCAACTGACAAATTACACAACAGTTAAAATGAAATTAATAGCCCTAAAAATAGCTATGGATAAAATCACTTCAAAATGCCCATTCCGTAAGCCATTATAGTTAAATATATAATTTACTGGTGCTAACAAAATTGATTTCCCCAATTAACTTTGCAGCAAGCAATTGTTATTGTGCTTGAAAAGGGATGCAATGTATCTCGTGTCCTGTGTGACTGTTAATTTTCTTTGTGGATAATGGCTGATGAGCAGTTATAATCTTTTCTTGTAAAGTATCTAAAAAAAGTGAAGGATCACAGTGTGCTTCTTTTGCAAGGGCATGATTTCAGCAGGTCTTCACACTGCCAGAACCGCTTATTCACACTGAATTTGGAAGACCATTCGTTAAAGAGCCAATAGGCAGTTATATAGAAGTATTAAATTTAATAATTAAAGGAAAAAGATGACAAATCCTGAGGAAAACTGTCAAGCACTCATTTAAATCAATTAACTCCTATTTTATATCATCAAGAGAATTGAGACTCCTCTGTTAGAGCTCTGGAAAGAAAGCTTTGCCTCCTCTATAGTAATAGGGAGCGAACAGCCTTTTGTTTACATCTGCCTAGAAAGAACAAGCTTGTTCATTAATCCTCAAAGTTTCCAGAGCCTTTTGTCAAATTTGCTGTTATCCTGAGTTGTGGTTTTCAGTATTAATGGTCACCCTTTAGACCAGAATAAATGAACTACCTACTTGTCTGGATTTCAAAGAAAAAAATTAAATGTTTACTCATTCAATTCTGTATATCATATTTATACTGACAATCATTGTTTTATGGGAGAGACTGGTGTTAGCCACACTACCGCTGAATCCAAAACCCAAGAAAATATTCACTCAAGAGCAGCAATATATGCAACATGGAGAGACGAGCAAGTTGCTCAGAGGATGGGTTTAGAAGAGACACTGAGTCAATCTCAGTCTGTGTTGGCTGTTTGAGTTCCTGTGCTTTAGCAGTGAATGCAACAGAATAATTCTGTTGAAATTCCGAAATTTGCAGTCTCTTCATGTTGTTACACAACACAAAACAGAGACTATGTGTTATGCAATACATTATATATAAGCAGCAGAAAAGTAACTGCACTTTATGCAAAATAGAGGCCACAATAGACCTCCATGTCTGAAACAAGCAGAGGTTGCTGGTTTGATACTTTTCCTCAGTGATGAACTGCTTTATGCATGCACATGTGTGCAAGGGCTTACTTTAGCAACAGCTACCAGGATTCTGTTTGGAGTATGACTGATAAAGGATTAACTTGTTCAGATCAGAGATTTATTACTTTGATGGAAATGGCACTCTGCTCCTGTTTTACTGGTGCTTGTATCACTCTAAGTCTATATGACTGTAAGTCACTGTTGTAAAATAAATTTGCTTTTAACAAGATATTGTACATGCTATGCAAACAGCTATTCTATATATTACAGAAAAGTGGAGTGTCTGTAGACTCTATTTTCCTAATGTTTCTTACCCGATTAACTGTTTTATTAATTATTACAGACCTGTAAAGGAATTCTCTGTTCCTAGAGGTGTCAATGCCTTTGCATACTGTGGAAAAGCAAATGTCATTGTCACTGGGGGTAAGTATTGTGGTTATTTCCAGAAGATTTTTCTGTTGTGACTTTTTTTCCCAGTTAAATAATATCAAATAAATCTGAGTTAATATCTTAAGAATTTAAATAATGGCTTTTGTCTTAAATGATAGGAAGCAGAGGTCTTGCTTTTACTTGCTGGGAGCCTCACTTTATAAAGATACAGTTCCTGAAAGGAATCTATCAAGAGCTCAGTCCGGGTTTGATATGAGTATCACGTTATTTATATTATAAAACCGGAGCAATAGTATGTTGAACTACTCTAACGCATGTTTCAAATCACTGTGGTGTCTGTCTTGGCCAGGTTATACACATTATTTCTTTCAGTATCAGCAGGGCTCCCATTCCTTCCTATTATTCTTTGTCCATCCTTTCCTATCTTAAGCAACCACATTGGCCCATCTTAATACTTTCTGTTGCTCTTCTCTCTGATCAGATTTCCCAAAGCTTTACTGTTCATTCCTTTTCCCAAAGCAGACTGCAAAAATAGCACTCTTACATCCATTTCTTCCCGGTTATCCAATAATTTTATGAGCCTTTCTATGGCAATGATTATATTTCGTGCTGCAGAAATGTGGCTGGAGTATGGCAGCAGCCTTGTTTGTGTATCCTGTCTGACAGGGTAGTGGCCTGGAGTGACATTGATGCTGCCTATCTCCAAGTCTTCAGTATGAAAGTCTTGCTTAAAACTTTATTAAAAAATGCAATAGCAAGCAGAGCAATTCTTATGTCTATTTTTAACATGGAGACAAAATTGGCCAAGGCTCTGCTGTCCAACCTTGATAATATGCAAGATAGTAAAATAAATTTGGGAAAAAAAAAAAGACATAGACATGGGAAGTGAAGCAAGTTGAATTGTGGCAGTTTACCAATGGGAAAACTGCTATAGATAGATATTAAATATTGATTTTCTAGACACAGGATTTAAAGAGAAAGCAATATGGCTGTAGGAAAGTTATTAGTGAAAATTCTGGAGTTCAGCCTTGGAGAAGATCTTATTTACATTGATTACCTTGTCACAAAAAGTAGTCTGAAGAAATTTACTGATGGCATTAAGTAGAGAGGCCCTGTAAAACAGAATGTGGTTAGTGTTTCCTATGGGCAGAACTGGAAGATTTTGCTGTAGTAATAAAACTGGAGTGAAGTGTCTGAATAGGATAGAAGGTCAATTACACAGGAACTAATAAAAGTTTCTGTTACACACTGAAGCTACAGAAATAGCAGAATGAGAGAAAAATCTAGATAAACTTCCTAAGAAAATAATGACAATTCATAAAGAATACCACTGATAATTATATAAAGATAAGGAAAGCAAATGTTGGAGCAAAAATTAGAGCAGTGATGTTCTGCAAGAGTCTTCTGAATATTGGCAGTTGCAGAAAGAAACATCCTCAATTTAAAGTAGAGCTTGACATTTTTGAAAAGGATAGATTGCATATTCTTCTGTGATAGCTGGAGGCTGGACTTGGAATGCAGGACCTCCTATCCCATCTAAACGTCTACCTAATCAGAATATTTTAGAAGTCTTTCTCAAGACTGCATTGTCTTGCCTTCTGCTGCACAAAAGCACAGAAAACATAGGCAACCTGAAAAAAGCTTAATAATATTGTGTTCAAGGACTCTGTAATGGTGATTTTGAAAAAGGGTAAGAATTACACTTCTAACAATCTTCTAGTTTATTCCTGGGTCATAACATTTACATACCCTTGAGTTGGAATCCTGTCATGTTTGTTCACCCACTGGCTTTCATCTTGATATTAAAAGGCATCCTCATTCCTCTCACCCTCATTCCCAGTCCCTAGCCCTGCTGCTTCCCTTGAACACAAAAAGAAATTATTGCTGAGGTGACTAAGATTTATAGGAGACAGTGGGAATGCATGGCCAAAGACAAATACAGGGTGGAATCATCTCTTTCAATTTGACTGTGAATTTTAGAGAAGTCAGGGGCTACCATGAAGCAGCACCCAAAATTAGGAATAATGCTACAGCTCTTGAGAGATCCATCTACTAAAGCCTTCAAAAGTTGAGCTTCAGAGTTCAGTGCTCTATTAATAAAATACACAGCTAATAATGGCACAGCAGTCAGTCAGACTAGAGCACACAATGTTTGCCTACATATCTTAAAAAGCCACCTCCCTCTCTTGTCTGGCTGAGAAATGCATGTTGATGATCCAGTTAATGAACAAATTAAACTGTTTATAATGAACACTGTAAGCCTGCAATTTTACCTGTAATATATCCTAAAAATCAAAGGCCAAAGCATGTAAATAATTCAGAAATCATAATATAGAGATTTTTTGGAAACATGCAACCATTTGTAAAAGTTATGTTTGTTTCTGACATTAAAAATTAAAATCTAACTTTAGATTGCAGGCTAGCTTCTAAAGCACTCAGTGAGGATAAATCTGCTAACAACTAAGCCCCGAACTGTTGTTATTTAGCCAGGTTTTTATAGCACAAATGGCATCAAAATACGATAATGTATTATTCCACTAGAAAGTGACTATTGTAAAAGTTATGTTTTAACACCCTTCCTCCTCCATTGTTTATTTGGTCATATTTGAATGTGCTCAGGAGTTTGTCAGTACTGTGACACAACCTAATTTTGTCTTCCAGATATTTGACATTTATAATAATGAATAAGAAAGGTAAAAGCAAATCTGGTACAGAGTTCCCATTTCAGGCTAAGAGCTAGATTTCAGCCAGTAAAATGATAAAAACCTCATAGTGGCCTAAAATATGGAGCCCACAATAGTTTAGAATAACTTTCTGTGTAATGTTTTGCATTAATACTATGTTGAATGGTAAAGCGATATGGTTTTCTTCATATTCTATATCCATTTCAATTCCAACAATGTCACAATTATCACCTCAGGGAACAGCTACAGTTAAAATCAAATTATGTAAGCATATAAAAGCTGGAGATGATCAGTTTTAAATTATATGATACATCAAATTCTAACCCTATTAGATCTTTAAATCCATCTATGGTTCTCCTGTGAGGAATAAAGAAGAAAAACTATTAGTGATTTCTAAATCTAGAAGCAACATTTTAAGACTGATAGAAGGAAGGCCTCTGTGCTTGCTTAGTATATTTTGTGTATTCCTAGCACAAGAGAAGTAACTGGTAACATTGTAGATTTTTTTTTTTTTTAAACTGGCACTGTACATTAGTATTAACATTTTCAGGAAATCCCAGGAATCTCAATTAAAGAAATTGCATCCCAGGACTCCACTAATATCCTCAGAAGCATAGCAGACTCTTTTCTATGATGCAGTTTAAGTTTAAGAAGAACATATGAAGACAAACAGAGCACAATGAAGAAAACAAGGAGACATTGGTCAATGTGATAAACATGTGAACTTGTGTTAGTTTACCATCTGTCTAACTCTTCTGAAGAGGTGTCCTGGTTTGAGCTAAACAGATCCAATTCTGTTCAGTGATTTTTACTTCTCAGCTCAGTCTCTTCTCAGAGGCTGTGCTTTCTGAATTTAGCAGCACGTTTTTGCAGACAGTGCCTGCTACTAGCAGTTGTACCACCTGAAGTTTATTTGCAGTGACTACCACCAGGGCCTGGGATGCAGAAAGGCTCTTGCCTATACTCGCTCCTGTAGTGACCAAGGTCACTGCTGGATCTTGTGTGCCGTGCTGGGGGTGCTGGGAAGTAAAAGGGGATGTAAGGAAGTAAAAGTTGGCACCTCTGGCCACGACTGTGTAGGACAGGTGACCAACACAAGTATTCCATTCCATATACATCATATTCAGTATAAAGCTGATCACGGGGGTTAAGGTCTCTTCTTCAATGGCCGACATCTGAGGAGGACTCCGTCCAATCTTCTGCCTTTGATCCCTATCCTGAGTTCCTGAATCCAGCCCCTGTGTCCAGCTCCCTTCTGCCTCCTGAGCCTCGGGCTTCCCTGGTGCCGCCTGCTCTGCAGCATCAGTGGGGATTGCTGTCAGGGCGGAGTTGGGTTTGGTATCAGTGGTATTACAAGCGGACTTGTAATACTACACAAACTGCAAAACTGTGTAAGCAAGTGAGACAATTTGACAAAGCACTACATGTTCAAAGAATACATTAGAATTTGTAACATCTAGCTAGAATATAGCTGTGGACATAGTATCTGACTTTGAAAAAAACCCTAAATATGTGCTTTCTTAATTATTTACCTTGGAAATGAGAACACTGAGCTGAGTCCAGTACAACTCAAATCACTGATTTCACAGAACCTTAAAAATTTGCCGTCAGATATATAGACAGATAATTCATCTTCTTCAGGCTTTTCTTGAATGTGCTAAGTACCCATGCCTTCTGTGTCAGAATTTTGAATCCTGGAGGCATATTTGGAGCACAGAGAGAATGAATGTTCCTGCAAATATTCCAGTGAAGCAGTGAAGCAGCTAATGTTAGGGCCAATGTGGCATTAGTCCAGAAAGAGAGGAGAGAACACATCTACTATAACCAAACTCACCATTATATCCACATCAGTAGAAGAAACTAAACATTATTTCATGTGAGAAGGAAACATTATTTTTAATGTAGGG